GATGGATGGGAACATTCTGTCAGCAGCGTAAGTGCTTTCCTGTCAGATGCTGATTTTGCAAAGAGAGGCATGGACCTGGATATTTTTACATGTACCTACATGTATGAAATAATGCGAAACCATTCTAAAAGTTCTGTAGCCTCTAGCTATGAAACTGGAAATGTAGAGAGAGAAAGATAATTAGCAGCATTCAGTCTAGAGTTCCCAAACACTTAAAAGTAACTCAAAAGTCAAAGAGCAATCAAACATTTCTTTGCTTGCAATCAAGCATTAAACTTATTTACATTTTAAATGTGCTTTAATTTGAGAGAATACATACATAAATGAATAAACAAAATGAAATACTTGTAACAAAGCTTTAAAACAAGAAAATAATGATTAAAATGTAGGTATGTGGACATCCCTGTTTAATCTACAGCTAAACCTCTTAGCATTCTGATTTGCACTGATTGAGACTATTTGAATAAACCTGAATAAATGCTAATTAAAAATGCTTCCTCTTTAAACTTGAACCACTCTTTGACTATTTCTAAGGACTAAGGACTAAATAACCCAACTTTTGAGTGCTTGTTATCTTATAAAGGAAAAGTGTCAACTTTGCCTAAAGTTTTGATAAAACTCTTGCATAAATTTTTTGATCAAAATAAAATTTTGAAAACAATAAATAAAATGTTTAATATAAAGCAGAGTGCAATGAATTGAATGTCTTTTTCAAGGCTATAACCAAAATGACATATCCTCCAGTAACCCTTTAACTCCCATGAATGACCAAAAGAGAATTTCTCCTTACAGTGTCAATACAATATCAAGCAGACAAGTGATGAGAATAAAGAAAAATAGCAGTTAGGGGATTTTAGTTGACCCAATCCCAAATTCTCCAAATTAACATGATAAGAATTGTATGGTAGATAGTAAGGAGAATTACAAATGAGATCTTGGGAGTAAAGAGTTAAGTGTCTAAAAGCTTTGTTACAGAAGTTCCACATCCTACAATAATTCTGACCTCAAAAGATCCAAAACTATCATCTCTGAAGAAATGAATTGTTCTATATAAAACACAGCTTGTTCAACAAATTAAAACCATGGGTGAAATCAAAATCATTAAACTATAACGTAATGTAAAATTAATTATGGAATCAATTTAATCATAGATTAGCGTTAGCTTGCGCTTCAGATCATTGTCTGTATAACACACAATGCAACTCTTAACATCTTGTGACCATGGTTATTACTTTCAATAATAATTTTATTAGTGTTACATTATAACTATGTCATTCTTAAGGTCATTCACTTCCATTTAATCACAGATTTTAATAAATTACTTTATAGTCAAGTGAACAGTGTTGTGGGCATAGATAAATTGTCATAATCATGCAAAATTGACCAAAGATCAGCCATTATTTTGATAATAGATTACGAGTACCAGAATGATGTTATTTCTGCATAATTCACTACTGTAATCTCTCAAATGATGTTTCAGGCTGTTTTCATGGTAGTTATGGACAGAATTGTATGAAGATTTGCAAGTGCCCTGATACATGTGATTGTGATCCAGTAACTGGAGAGTGCTCTTCTGCAAGCAACTATAGTATGCTAAATTCTACTCAAAGATGTAAGTTTGATCCTTTCAAAGAGATCTAGGGGATGCACTTACATTATTCTTACTAAGGCGATAATAATTTTCCCAGTCAGTTTTGAGATGGATCTTTAACCCCTTAACTCCCATGATCTAATTGTCAATTCTCTCTTCCAGCTACTAAATATTTCCCTTGAAGTTAGTTACAACTTCTACCTGATAAGTTTGAGTATTCTCATTACCTTTTTGCTGGATAATGAATGGATATTATAGAGAGAAGTTAGTTGTTAATCACCTCTGGGAATTAAAGGGTTAAGGCAAAAAACCTTGTCTTCAGTGCATACTGAAATGCTAGAGAGTTTCTATAATCCCAACCTGAGTAGTTAGCACATTAACTCTTTCACTCCTAAGAGTAAACAATAGGCAATATCTCTTACATGTTCAATGAGGAGGTTGTCAACTAGGAGATTCATTTGACAAACTACAAGTTCTCAGAACAAGAATCCAGAGGATTGTATACAGACAAAGCAGAAAATTTAAATTTAAATCCTAGGAATGAAAAGGTCCTGGCTGCCATGAACCAAGTTCAACAGACCTTTGAAATTTCTCGTAATTGATAAATTATGGTGGAGGTGCTGTGAGGCATGAGCAGCCTTTTTTGTACCACCTAAGGGGTTATTACTAAAGGTGTGGCTGCGGTATTAAAAATTAAGGAAAATAAACCGTGTTTGAAACCACAGACTACTGGTAAGCTATACTGAGTCAAATTAATAAATTTTTATGTTATAGGGCTGCATTGTGAATTGGATTTGAAGATGAAGGGAGTTTCAACAAAGGAAACTGTGCTGCAATCAAATACTGAAAAGGGTGCAGTTACAGAAGAGGAATTCAGGTAAAAGCCAAGAAACTATGTTTTTTTTTTTAATTTACATGACAACAAAGCCTAAGATAAGCTTCCTCTCTTTATATATTACACATTAAGAAACCAGTTTTTTGATATTTCTAACATTCTCTTAGAATTTTTAGAAAGATTTTCTGGGTAAATTTGTGTCATGACCTTCCTTTCTTAAATATTTTATCATCAGTAAGCTTTGATTTTTGTATTGCCATTAATAGTTATTCCTTCTACTGTTAAAGTATGATTCTGTGTCCAGCTTTTGCATCCTTGAGGTTTTTAAGTTCAGGAAACCAGACTCAGAAATCTAACAAGAACTTCTGTACAGTCTATAGTTTATTCCATTGCGTAGAACTCTTCCATGAGTGTTGATTTCATTGTTTCTTTTTTCAGTAAGTTCTTTGTATGGTTTGTGGCAGTGATCAGTCTCTGTGCCGTCAGCTTATTAGCCAACCTATTTCTGATATATCTGGCCTGTAATCAAGCTACAAAGAAAGCTGTCAGTTTTAATGGCAACAGAAAACATGAGCGTCTGCATCTGTTCAATGATGATGATGATGACGAAGATGCCTTGTAATATACTGTTGATGATTTAAACTAGCTCATTTGACATGGAGATAGAGGAAAGGAGACTGTTAAGCTATTTTTTCACAGACCTCCCTTCCAAAATAGAAGATGAAAATTAAAGTTTATGTGATATTGAACTACACTGGAAATTTTTACCAGCACCCTCTGTAAACCTTTTACCAGTTTGTAACAATTTTTGTGGGGTGTATGGGTTGGACCAAATATCTTGAAAATAAGTAGTAAATGATTTGCACTGACTGGAGATTTTTTGATGCACCATTTTGAATGTTTTTTTCCTTGTGGTTTTAAAAAGCATTTTAAAAAAAAACATTCCTAGGCCAGAGGTGGTAATAGAAGTGACAAGTGAGTGAAGAGGGAGGCTACACCTCATCCTCACTCACTGGTCTAATTTGTCATTTTGATACCAGTTCCATGCATTTTCAGTCTCACCAGTCCAATGGCCATTGAAACTCTCAATCATAAAAATTTTGCAGTCACTCACTTGAAATTAAGCTTGTTGCACAGGCTAAATGTTATATAGAGATGGTTCTAGCAAAGAAAGATAAAAAATAAAAGTTGTAAGATAGTGATAAGTACAATGATATTTTTATTTAAGTATTGAGTTTTCTGATAATGAAAACTCTTGAACTAAGGTACTATGTGGAAGACTTTTTGAGGCCTTCTACACCTTTTGTAGCCTGATGTAAAAGAAAGTTTTTATCTCATTCTAAAATTTTACAATTTTTTGGGGAAGAAAAGTTTCCTCTCTTATTTCTAGTTCAAAGGAGGAGAAATTTAGATTTTAATAAATAAATTATTAGTGTCATTAATTAGATTGAAATTAGTAAGTTTAAGGTTACATAAAATTGTTTAGTTAAGATTACAATGTAACAACAGATTGACTTATTCTAAGTTTGTTTTTATTTATATTGTTTGTCAAACCTGATGTAGAAAGTAAGGTTACTTGCAATAAATTAACTTTATAATCAAGGAATAATTGATACTCACTTAATGCCGCAGTGCAAAACACACCAATCAGAGGATATTTATATTTATTTAAAAGTAGACATTTGATTATGTGAGAGTTCTAAGTTTTTTAATAAACATGCAAACATGATCAGCATTTATAAACTATGGTTGGCTACAACTTTCAAGAGAAAGGATGCCCTCAAAGAATTGCATGAAGAGTTGTAATTGAGGAGTGATATGCATTCACTTCTTTTTCTTATGGAATTATTTTGTAACCCTTTGATGCCCATGTAGTAAAGAGTCACTGACAATTCGTGGTGAATCTTTGATCAGGGAAATGATGTCAGGTCTGTCTACATTTACAGAAGTGGAAGAACAAGAAAGGGCCAAAGTGCTGCGTGGTAATCAAATTTAAATATCTAAGGGGGTAAGGGAGAGGGGAGAGGTAGAATTTTTATCTCGCACCTCTTTGATGTGGGGCCAGTCCTTGGAATTACTGCCAGGCAATGCTCAAATGACCCAGATTGACTGTTCACTTGTACCTTCACAAGCTTTTGGATGGGTCTAGAAACTGCAAGTTTTTTCCCAAGAATCCAAAGCATTAAATCAGACCTGGGCTTGAACCTGGACCTCACTGTGCAGGCACTGTAACCTTGTCCACAGTATTTCACAAAATTAATAAATCTTGGCTTTCTGCTAAATATAGGTTTGAGTTATGATATTTGGATGTTAAGGCTTAATTTGATAGAGTATTGTATCTGGTTAGTTCATGATGCAAGAGAACACCTCAAAATAGGAAATTGTCATTAGCCCAAAAAAGGAACAGCTTTAACCTGGGAAAACACCTTTATTGGCACTGTGGCCCTAACAGTGCCAATAAAGACTAATGCAACTGTTCTTAAAGAGAGCCAGCTTGCTCACTGGGATTTCAGGATAACCCTTGGAAACAAAACTTCCACTAAACTGCTGAACAATAATTTGTGGCTCTCACTCTTCCTTTTTTATCGTGATAGCAGGTTTTACAGATCAACCTTATGACTATTAAGGAGCTATCAAATTAAGATGTTAATAGTTAGATAAAAGACAAAAGGAGAAAGAAAAAAATCTGACTTTCCCATTTAGAATTGAAGCATAGATTGTCCACCAGCCAAAGGCAACTCACAGAGTATGCATCTGGCATACTGCTGGGCTCCGCTGTTTGTCAAAAGCATTGTGTGTAAATAGAAAAAGAAAGGTGGCTAGCTCTTAGCTTGTTCATGGATTGACCATAAATATCATTTGATTAGCACAAGAGTCTAAGACAAGAAAAACATGTGGGTGCCCCATCAGGAACTGATCCCAAAAACTGCACATTTCCTGCACTGCTGCTCTGCCACTGGTGGTATACTAGTGGTTTTGTCCCATGTCAGCCTGAGTTGAAAAGGTTTGTTTTACAAAGTTATATCTGAATCAGCCTAACTTCAACTCCTTGTTTCAGCCAATAACTTACGTGATCAAATACGTAAACAAAGTGCACTTTATAAAAGCCACAATGACAACTTATCAAGCCAACGTCTTATCTCAGGTAACCTGGCCCCAAGCTCTAAACAATTAAGTTCCACATTGTCCCTAAATATATTTATTCAATACAATAAGTTAAATATAAGGTGTAAAAAAGTATTACAAATGTTACAGAGATAACTTGAAGAGATAAAGGGAACTGAAAATTAACACGAACTATTTTTTCTTTGTCTTATGGTAGTCAAAAAAAATTTCTTGTCTATATTGTGGTCACATTTAACTAGTCAATATAATCATTTTATCTCGTGCATGTGTTCTTTTCATATGACTTTCTATCCTAAATAACAACGTCAAATTCTATAATTGTCCCTTGTGAGTAATATTTCTATTTTCTTATTCAGTCAGTTACACCAGTATAAATCGTTGTTAAATGTCATTCTGTATGACACTGTAGGTATTTCTTTTACAAACAGAGGATTTAACTTTGAGGCACTTGAAGTCGCATATTATTCCTCAGAAATAAAACCAGTCTGTCCATGAGTTGTTGTCGAACCATCAATCCAGGACCGCCACTCAGGAAGGCCATAAGAGCTAGGTAATCGTCGATCGCCAAGTTTTCGAGGATTTCTTTAACACTGTCGTAAAGAAGTTGCCTGTCGTGAGCGTTCATGTCTTTGATCACTTGGGAAGCAGGCTTGAAATCTCCCGAAGTGCCATAGGCTAATGCTCCGCCAACAGCGCCTCCAACGAGCAACCCAGCCGGTCCACCAAGAAGTCCTCCAACAGTCGTAGTAATTCCTGCGATAACACCGCCATAGGCAGCACCTTTGATGGTTACTTTAAGTTCATCTTCATCGGCTAGAATGGCCATAACACGCTGCAAATCAGTCACGGAAACCGGCATGTCGACTGAAGGAAAGCGAAAGTACTCACAATAAGGAAACAAAACGAAAGATCAGTTCCGGTAGACGGCTGGGACTTTCCCCATTGTTGTTAGCCTCATTTCTATGTTTGAGTAGACATGAGGTCATCAGGTGTCTAATTATAGCAATAGGTATGCAACGCGTGCAATATAACAATAAAAAAATATCTACTAAGTCACCTCTAATACGTAAATAGTATACAGAAAATCCTTTATCGAGCTCAAAGTTAAGGAGAAAGGAGTAAAATAATTATGTCGAGTAGCAAGTTCTTTAATTTTTCTTCGCGTGAATCCTTCGCACGCCGTTATAACCGGCGCCTGTGCCAAGTTATCAAATTACTTCAGCTGCAATGGATGAATATATTAACCTCCACATTAGTTAGTACTGATTACTAGCCCTCAGTCACTTATTCTAAGGTTTACGCGTCTATAATTAAACTTAAAAAAGGCCATTTCTTGAATGAGAACATTATCTATAGAAAAAGTTGATGGATTGCATGTATCTTCGGTTCCAGATTAAACATGTTAAAAGCGTCGTTTGTGCGAGAATAATAAGACTTCATTGACATGTTTGATTTTGTCCAGATACATCTATCAACACAGACAGTTTGGAAGATTGCGAACGTTCGAGAGATACAGACCTCTTGTGATTAGACCAGAACCCAGATGATTTCTTGTGCATTTTAGATATTCATTTTGCAAAAAGAAAAAAGAAACTTAGTCATCTATCTAATTAGACTATTTATTTTTTAATTTAGTGATTTATTTTTTTTAAGTGAATGAAGAATCGAGGGTGACGCAGAGGGCGAGAATGAGCTCCTTCATTGACCACGTGACTTGCGTCCGCTGGCCTGAGAGATCAATCCCGTCACCCCTCTTCCACCCCCTCCCACCTCCCCCCTCCCCCTCCCCCGAGAAAAAAAGGTAATAAAAAACGGAAGAAAGTAAAAAAAGAAACAGAAAAATGACAGGTTTTCCGCTAGCTGAATTTTCGCGAGTTTGTCCATTTACGAGAGTGCAAGCTAAGTGAAACTGACTCGTCCTTCCTTGCTAATATGTTTCGCTCGAGTAAAAATCACTCAGAATCACGGTCAAACAAGATACACTTTCCTGATATTTTTACATCAATATATATTGTTATTTCAATAAAAGTATATTTTCATCGAAATCGCATTGTTCTGTTATCAGTTTGTAAAATTCATAAAATGTGATCAATGGGTTAAAACTCGCCATGGCAATGGTAAATTTTTGCCAAAAATGTTTCTTATTTGAATAAAAGCTACCCTCAAAACTACAACCTGACGGGAAATAAAGACGATAAATTGAACAAGAATCATTCAAGTATACTAAAGAACAAAGCATCACAGTTTTTTTTAGATGAAAAAGTCTTAAACTGTTTTATGTCGTGAAAACAAGAATAACTTCCATCATTTTATCATGCACGGTTATTTGCATATGTTTGTGCGGCTCTGTAGAAAATCTAGTATCAATGCGTATTTCAAAACTTTCCTAAACAATAGAGCAAAATCGAAATAGTGATAGACAATAAATTACTGGAAAATTTTTACTGTTATCCTTGCCAGTTTTGTGAAATTTTCCACATGGTTTTCAGGTTTCCTGTTTTTCTGAATTCAATTGAACCTTTCCAATTTCAACCACGTTCTTGTTCTAGTGACGACAAGCTCCTTTCCTTCATTCTCTTCATTCATTCGATCACATTGAGCCTCAGTTCTACCTTCAAATAGCACAACAGCACATCCAAAAATCGTCGTTTGAGATCGGGGTCGGTGGCAACTTTAGCGTTCAGGGCAACAAAGTTTTGAACATGGCTATCTTCTATAAGGTAATTCATATACGCAAACATCGCTTGCCTCTGTTCTTTGTCCATATCCATCAAGTATTGGTCTAATGGTATTGTGGTCGATTTTCCTTTCCAAGCAGCTAGTGATCCGCCGACTAGGCCTCCCACAACAACACCAAAAGGTCCACCACACACACCGCCAACAGTGGCTCCAATGCCTGTCAGAAATCCTCCTTTCAGGCGCTGGCTATTTGTGATCTGATAATTCCTTTCGCCCGCGATCAGGGCCAAAAGACCCACAAGGTCTTCGGGTGTTACAGGCATCTTGAATTTATGGTGGAGGTACAGTAAAATTGAAAAACAAACTTGGATAAGAGATTGGAAAATGCGTATAGGGAACTTAATATTACCGATGACCTTTCCCTTGCGAACTGATTATGGACAATAACAACACACGCTTGATGGGATACTCTTCAATCACGTGATTAACACCGTTTTTTCCTTCACCAATATTCCTTATTTGGTAATACTTGTTAAACGAGCCTGAAATTATCAACCGAAATACTGTTTTATTTCCATTTAAGGTCACCATTCCCAGGAAGATACCCCAGGCTGTGGACCAAGAAGAGAGAATGACCTCATATTCATTTGGCGGCGCTTCCCAATACCTTAAGCGAAATAAAAGTGTCCCCCCACCGCCCTCCGGGAAATTCTTCGTAACGTAGTGACAGAAGAGGAAATCCCGGATGAAAAAATTAGATCCTACAACAACGACTGTGCATGTTCTCAACCTCGCCTCCAAAAAACTGAAGATTTTCTCCTTTGTTATGGCGAAGTCCACCACAGAAATGCTAGCTAACTATAGCGCGCTAGCTTATTGCATGGTGGGTTCGTGCTTCTAGAGTTCTTCTTAAATTTATGTGTCATTCAAAATTGTAATTTAATTTCTAAGTAGCAACATGGTCCTACGTGCCTCCCTCGAGCTGCGTGACCAGCGGTTAAATCGGTGCCACGATGGACATGCGCTTTCGTGCAAAGCACATGGAAAGGAAACATGGCGGGCTTTACGAAAATTACAAACTAAGCCATCATTTGCGCGAATTTTTCGGGAAGCCCAGAAGATATAGTTATTTTAGAGCTTAAATCTAGTATTCTGGCGCGTTTTGTTTTCAATCATGTCTTCGAGTTTTGGAGATTTGCTGCAGCAGGCAGAGCAATTGACTGCCGATATGGACAGTGGCTGGGAATTGCCTAGGGTCGAGAGAAACCTCCATCAACTCGCAGAGGCTGGTCAGAGGTTATGGTCTCAAACAACTGGTGTTTCTGGAGCTGATGTTCAAGTGAAGGCGTAAGTGTGTTCAATATGCTAAACAATCAAACAAAACTGGGCTTCAAATAAACTAATGACACTTCCTTATCGATCCGAGTCAGCGCCTCACACAGGACTTGAACAATCGATGAAATCATGATCGGGAATCTGATCGATTAATCGATTTCAATCTATGCATATTTGTTCCTTGTTATCGATTTGTATCGGCCAATCGATGAACAATCGATGATCACGTAGTAGTAATTTATGTTTATCGATTACCATCGATTGGAGATGAAATTTCGATGCTATCCAATTGATCGATTTCAAACGATTTTCGATGATTATTGATAATCGAAAAGCTGTGCTATCTAATTGATTGATTTCAATCTATCTTCAATGATTATTGACAATCAATGAGAATAACAAATTGCAGAAACTTTTGCATCAACTGTTCACTGATTATCAATATCAATCAATTGATTGTTATCAATTGTCATCGATTTTCATTGATCAGTAATTTCATTGATTGTCCAGGTCCTACTCACAATACATCTGGTTTTTGTCCACGTCAGATAATACTGAGGCATTGTTGTTTGTTAGGTTAGGAAGTAAGTAAGTAAGATCATTTGTTTATTAAACATGATGAAAAATGAAAGCATTATATGCTTGAGGGGTCATTGTTAAAGTATCCAATACTCCTTCTCTTTGTCACTGGTCCAGAGGGAGATTAACACACAATCATCTTATTTTGTCCAACTTCGTTAATGCCACCAGTAATTCTCAATGATGTTTTGCACAGTAATGGACATTCCAGTTTTTTTGTAATCAATCCCCCATCCCTCTTCTCAAAGGGAGGCCAAATTTATAGCTTACTATATCTTGTTGTTGACACCTGTAAAGGGTAGGCCTTGTCCCAAACATTGCCTTCCATGGGAAGGGGTGGTTCAAATAGGAAAATGGAATGTATATGTACTGTTGGGTATAAAGTGTACAAGTGTCTCATGTATGTAGGTAACACCTGCTGCCCAAAAATTCTTTGTCAATGAAATTGTGTGAAAGTAAAACCAAAATGGTAACAAAGGCTAGTTACAACAGATTAGTGAAAATAGTGGTGCAAGTTTTCTAGTCCAATCACAAGGTAGTAAAACAAAAACAATGCGACTTATGACTTTTGATACTCAGTTGAAAATTTCTCTCTAGAAAAATTTTTTTTTGCCTTCTCAGTTCCATTTTACTTGGCACCAAAGGCTTTGATGTCCCACGCCTTTCAGAAAAACTAGATCGTCTTGACACCACAAAGACATTTGAACCTCTTGAGCCTGTTAGAGAGACTGATATTCAGGTAAAGCTTGGTACTGTCTGCTGCTAATTGTTTTGTGTTTTTAGTGGATTTCTGTTTCGTATGATACTCACTCCTTTGTGTAAATTATCCTTATAATTTTCATTTGACAATTATCTTGCAGGGTTTCCTTCGGAATGAGAGAGAAAATGCAATTTTGGCTGCCATAGAGGAAGCAAGAGAAAATGTGAGCTTTATTATTGTTTGGACTCAGTAATTTTTCAATCAACAGTTTATTGATACTGAACCCTTCTCTTAAAATATTCCTTTTACCATTTCTTCAATCAGACATTTAATCAGGCTGAAAGACATCAGTGGTCCTGTATGGAGAGTGAATGGGAAAAAGAAAAGGAGAAAATTCTCAACTCGCTACTGGGAGCTGGGCAGGAGACACTAGATTTCTCAGGAGAAGCAGAGGTTTGTTTTGAAATAATCATCTTTAGTTGTAATACTGTGTGCTAGTAATGCTGCTTTGAACTGGGATGCACTGCACTTGACTGACTGTGATGTACTCTTCCTACAATTTTTTTTTTATTAATTATTTTTGTTCTATGCTAAGGTGTTCACAACAAGTTCTTTGAGTTTACAAGGTAGAAGTGCCCTTGATGCTACAGAACAAGCTTATGCCAGACAG